TTAGGGCCCAGGGGCAGAAAAAAAAAAAAAAAAAGAAAAAGAGAGCAAAACAAACACAAAAATATTATGCCACTACTTAAAATCAGCGTTTGTCATCTTCTCCAATACCATGTTCAATGCTGTTTTTTAAAAAAGATGGAAAACTAAAATGCAACAGAGGACCAGTTTGATATTGTCCATGACTTTGATTTGGGAATGTTTGATAGCTTGTAAGAATTAAGTTTTTAATGAAGTGGTTGGGCAGCAAGTTTCAAGCTTTTATTTCATTACACTGTGTAACGTAGTAGTGGAACTCACTGCTATAAGACTTTTTTCAAGATCATAGGGTCAAAAGGATTAGACTTGTATGTGAAACGTGATAGTTATTTAAAAACGTTAGCTTAAATACAGTCTCCACTCAGAAATATCCTAAATTACTGCCTACCTTTAGCTGTAAAATATACAGAGATATTAACAGTCTAGGAATGTTTTATTCTTATACACTTTACTGTTTCATATTTGCTACTGGTGTTTTGTCAGAAAGAATAAAAACAAAACTGACCTTTGTTCTGACCTAATATAATACTTTTTCAAGAGTTCCAGTAGCTGAAGCGTGTTGCTATCTTTCTACTCTGCTGTGTCTGCCTCGCTGCTTTCCCTGTAGGATTTGCTTTTGTCAGCATGAAGCAGTAGCTCAGTCCAGACTATTACAACTGACCCAGTGGTGTTCCTCCATGCTCTTTTGTTCCAAGCATAAAGTCACTTGAGGCAGGTGACATTGGAAAAGAGACAGATAAAAATGAGCCTGCTTCTGTGCAGAATTGGCATCTAGAATTCCTTACCTTAAATCATCTTCCTTTAACAGTTTTCTTAACTGTTTGAACTTCTATTGATTATCATTGAACGCCAAGGGATTTGCTCCTGTTCGTGCCCAGCCTCACCTACTCCAAGCAGCATGGCTTCAGGTTTCCATCTGAGTCCGATCAGTGCTGAGAAGCTAGGCGGAGTGTTAACTAGGCTGCTAATTTAGATCAGGCCAATAGAGTGCAATTAGTTTTCAAAACTTGAGCAACAGAGTGGTGCTTTTGTCAGAGGTTAGTATCTTAAAGCACCAGCTCAGGAAGCAGAAAACAGCTTTGGTGGCTGCACGGCTCTGGGCCAGACAGATGAGGCTATGTAGCCATGTTATCAAAAGAGAGAAGAATGAAAACCGCCTTGTAGAACACCTTCCTGTTATTGTTAGAAAAACCACAGGGGTTTGTGGGTGGGGTTTTTTGTGTTGGTTTGGGGGTTTTTTTTAGTACTTTGAGGACCTAGCTTAGGCTAGCAAGCTGAATGCTAGTTTTAGAGTATATATAATGTGGCTCTGATTATAGACAAAATGACATTAAGTGGCAGACAGATTTTTATTTTTTAAATAATGTCAAAAACTTGGATCTTTCTGCAAACATCCACTTGCTAGATTTTTGTCTTTCGTATTTTCAAAACAGCTTGAAAATTGTCAACATAATGCTTTCTGGGTTATGGGACCTCTTGTCTATTGAAATGGCTAACCGAGTAGTGTCTCAAAAGTCACTAGAAGATGACTTTTATCTGTCCTTGGGGAAGAAGGGGCTATGGAAGGGGGATAAGGATGATTAGCTTAACTGATTATAAATGGTATTACTCATACTGTGCCTGTGCAGCACTTGTTAAACCATTGCAGCTATGAGACACTGGAGTAATTTTAGTCCATGTTTAGCAGGCTCCCACTATGTTCTTGGCATATTCAGGTTACTACTCTCAGCAGAGCAATAGAAGGGGCTGTAAATATAAAGAACTATGTGTAGCTAAATAGGTGATGTCTGGAACAAATTGTACACACTCTATCTTCGGCTTCTGGGTCACCGTGTTCTTTGGGATAGCCCTTTTTTTAATCTGCAGAGATGACTTATTGTAGCACAGGAAGGTGAGCTGTGCATGCTGCTTTGGCTGGAGTCTTCTAAGGCACAAAATATCAAACTGCTTAGAAAAGCTAGATGTAAAATGTGATATTTAAAAATGGGATTTATTAAGTGCTACTATGAATGTTTAGAGGTAACTAGTACAGAGACCTCTTCGTTTCCACTTTCTATTCTATTTGGCATCCGCAGTATCAGTATAATATATACGATCACAATTGCACCATTGTTCTTCTATAGAAGTATTTCAAATAATACTGTTCTAGGTGTGTTATCTTAAAATAACTGGTATTGGATAGCTGGTTGCTTCTTTTTAGTGTAGGTTACAAAACTGTTTTTAGGTGTCCTTAAAATGTTCATACTAAACAGCTTTGTTTATCTTATGGATCTTAGCAGGGTGAGTTTTTTCTGTAGCTGTTGATGGCAATATTAAAAATTACTACACTGTTCCTTCTTTAGAGAAAAAGGCATAAAGTGAAGGGTTTAGTCACTCTCAGCGTAGATGACCTTGTTTCTTGTATCTATCCTGGTATCTGTAAAAAGTATCTTAGAAGGGATAAGCTGAGGACATTCTGTATGTAAAAGAAAGCAATATTTTTTAAGTTGAAGAATTGTACAGGTTTGTGAAATAATGTTTCGTCAGTGCGAGGCTAACCCTGACCCTGCTGTGCATTCAAACAGATGAGATGTGTGCTTATACAAGTATTCAATGGATGTGATAGGTAACACAGCAAGTAGACAGT